CGTCGTGGCGTATATTCCCAATCCTTCCTAGTGTTTCTTGGTCTCATCATTTTGCTTACTTTTTTTCCTTATTCACCAGCTGGCCTTGTCACTGCTCTGTCTCAGAGGCAGGTTAGCTAAGGTTTCTACTGAAATAGGCAGAGACAGAGGGGTTACTAATCTCAGATGCACGAAAGTTATCAAATACTAGAACTTTACAATTGGTATTGAGAAGAGACCATTTTTATTGACTCACAAGTCTTTATCTCTTCACTTAACCTCCATTTGACATTTTCTGGCCCCAGTTCTTTATTGTGATGATCCCCAACCTGGAAAAATGTCAGAAATACTTGGGAAACTTTAAAAATAAAAATACAGTCTTCTAGGCAGAAACTAGAGATATTCTGATTCTACCCATTTGTTTTACATGCTATCTATTTTACATACTGGCTTCAGATGAATCTTCCTAAAATACTGTTCCATTATATCATTCCTTTTATCTGCTTGTCACTGGTAGATCCAATGCTTAGTAACTATAAGCACATTACTCATTTCCTTCAGTTTTATCCATTTATTCAACAGATATATATTGAGTACCTATTATATACCAGAAACTGTTAGAAATACTGGGGATGGAGTGGTCATGATGAAAGAGATTGTAAATTGCAAATGTTAGGAACCTTACATTTTAGTAATCTTTAAACAAATAAATTAATATGTATGTGACATAATCTCAGGAGTCATAAAAAAAATAAGAGGTTAGAAGGTGGTAAGAGTGATGGTAGAAGGTATACTTTTTCTTTTTTTTTTGAATGGTGGTTAGGGAAGGCTTCTTTGAGGAAATAACATTTGAGCCAAGACTGAATTAAGGAAAGAAATGTACTGTACAAATATTGAGGAGAGTAAGCAAGGTATAGAATAGAAGATATAGTCATGATTGAGAGTTTGGAAGTCTTTCTCAGTGCAATGGAGGAGCTACTTGAGAGTTTCTTTTTTTTTTTTTTTCTATTTTTTTAAAGCAGTAGAATACTGTAATCTGATTTATATTTTTAGAAGATCAACTAGATGCTGTATAGAGAATACGTAGAAGGGATGAGTAGAAGCAGAGAGTATATAGTTAGAAGGGTATAATTGGAGTCTAAAAAAGAGAGGATCCTGGAGGTAAGAAAAGAATGGTTTCTTGTTCTAGTGGTAACAGAATAACCTGTACCAGAGGGACTTTTGTGCAGAGAATGACTATAAATTTGAATAAAATACATGAAGCAACAGATTTAAGGCATAAGGAAACAACTAAGGCAGAGAACTTAGGGGCCACGATCATGGAGATAAGGATAGTACATGAGTTGAGCCCCACATTCATCTTGGCTTTAGCCTAGAGTCATTTTTCTATTCACATCGTCTGCCGAACCTGTGATCTTCTGATGTCAAGATTGTTCCTTTTAAGTACCAGAGGAGGCAAAAAAAAGGCTTCATCTTTCTCTGCTGCATTATTTTTAATAAGAGACTTTGTTCTGTAAAATTTGGATTCAGTCAAAAGGCCACACTTAAGGACCTGGAAGGCCACAGGTTCCCCAGCCCTGGAAGCAGAAAGTGGTAGAGATGGAGGGTGGTTGTTTTAATTTCCCTGGGCTAGAGGAACAGGAGTTGGAGCTTGGAACTGCCAGTAAACTGCAGACAGATGCCTGAAGTCATGTAAGCAGTTTTCATGTGAAGTGGTTCCCAAATCTTAGTCTTCTGTAGCACAGTGCAGAAGTCCTATGATCCAAGCCAAAAGCAGCAGGTAAGAGGTAAAACAGGTAACTGAAGATTTCACAGTCTTGTTCTGGAGAAACGAAGGTTAGAGTTTGAGAGGAAACAAGGTGGAGGGGCCCTGTAAACACTCCAGGCTTTCATTTGAGATCTCAGAAAAATTGTACCTTGAGAGTAAGGGAAATTCAGATGATCAATGCAAAAGACGCCTAAAAATGGTACCCTAAATGGTACGAGGTGATTTTCTAGTATTCTGTTTGCACACCAGAAGAAAAAATGAATCTACTCTGGAGAAAGATAGCATCAGAGTTGCTATAAATTTTCTTACATAATATCCAGTATTTAATCAAAAATCAGGCATATCAAAAAACAGGATCAAATTACTGAAATCAAGAAAAATAAAAAAGTGAAACAAACCTATGGATGATATAGATCATTGACTTTTGGGGTTCAAGAAAGAAGTAAAGATGAATATTACTAGAGAACTAGAATATATACAATTACTAGAGAACTGAAATATATTTGAAAATCAGAGAAAACTGCAAAATATATATTCTTATCAAACACACAGAGGACATATAAAAATTGACCATTTGCTGAGGCATAATTGATATCATTGAATTTTAAGAGGATAAAATAATATAAAGTATGTTCTCTAACCACACAGTAAAATTAAGCTAGAATCAAAAACAAAAAAATAACTAGAAAATGCTTATATGAGTGAAATTGACAATAACTCATGAATCAAAAAAGAAATCACAATTGAAAAATATTTTTGGAAAGTAATAATAATGAAAATACAACATATAAAAACTTGTGCTTAGAGGAAAATAGGCTTAAATAGGCTTCTGTGTATTTTTTTAAAAAAGAATAAAGGCTGGAAATCAGTGATCAAAGCTTTTAATCTCAAAAGCTATAAAAAAAGTAATAAACTCAAAATAGAAGGAAAGAATTAATGAAGAGTAAAAATTCAAACTGAAACAAATGTACACTAGAAGAAAAAGTAAACGTTGGTGTTTTTAAAAAAGATTAATACAATTGATAAGCTTCTAGCAAGACTGTTCAAGCAGAAAAAAGAGACCATAAATTATTAATATCAGGAATGAAGAAGAGGCCAACCCCATATACCCTACATTAAAAATCCTAAAAATGGGTATATTTCACACCTATAAATTTGAAATTTAAAGAAATTGAATATATAGTTAAAATTTTTCCCCTTGCAGGCCCATTTTTAAATTGGGTTATCTTTTCTTATGAGTTTTTAATGATTATTTTATGGATGAGATAGTTATTGTCATATATATATAATTTAAATATTTTTGTCCACTCTGTGATTTGTCTTTTCATTATCGTAAATGATGACAGTTCATCTCCTGAAATAGGAAGAAAAATAGAAAGTATGGGTACTAATGCAATTAGGTTGGTCAGTTTGGTAGAAGGAAGATGAATTTCTTCTCTTTAATTGTGTTTATTTTTTGTTTCTGCATATAGTAGAGATAGTATTGTAACTTAACTCACAATTCTTGGGAGAGTTACCTATCTTAATGTATATATAGCTCTTAAAACAGGGCCTAGCACATATTATTGACATTCTTAAGAAGTGATGACTACTTTTACTAATTTATTTTTTTCAAAAACTTTCAGTGGTTCTCCATTATAATCTGATAAGATCTAAATTCCATAACCTAGTTTTCCGTTTTCCCACTTATTGGCCCCCAATAACCTTTATAAGTCTGTTTATCTTCTAGTAAAGGTTTTTTGTTGAAAGAAAAGAAACCATTAAAATTAGCACAGTTTATTATCACAATATAACAGAATTCTGTACACATCCAAGGACAGGAAACTAAGCACAGCCCAATTTTGTATGGATTGAAATTAATAAATCAGGAAACAGGACTTTCCCCATGTTTCTTATCTAACAACAGCACAATCTCCTGTGCCTAATTTCCTTTGGAGAGCAACTTTCCCTGCTTCTGTGTTGGTGAAATTGTAGCCTTTTGATTCAAGATGCCCCTATTAGTTTCTGTATCTTCTAGATGAAATTTCAAGAGAGAATTTTGAGACTACTGGCCAGCCAGTGGCATACCTTTTTCTTCCTCTGTTCCGATCATCTACAGCTAATCTAGATTTACTTAGAAGGGATGATGGATTGAGCATAGGACTTGTTAAAAGGGAATGTTGCGCTTGATAGGCAAGTTGACTGGCGTGCTGACTACACCCATATCATTCATTTTTTTTCCAGCAGTACTGCTGCTCCTAGTCTGACAGGTTTCACCACTGCCTAGATTGACTCCTTTCTGACCTTTCCTATCCAAAAGTTTGGTGAATTCACTAGACTTGTAGACATTTCTAGAGTACGCTTTCCACCGCCCCCCCGCTCCCGTACTGGTAGTCGACTATCATATTTATTGATTAGTGTCACCTTTATTTGCAACTACTATTACAATGTTTTGATTTTCTATATATTCAATCTTACTGAATTTTTCTGGATATTTGTAAAAGGGTTGAGTAAAAATTAAAGTAATTGAATTATAAAATTCTCACTACAAATATGATCGCTTATATTCTTTCATTCTAAATAAAGATTCCATAAGAAAATTATTCACATTTAGTAAGAATTGTTTGTTTCTGTGATTCTGTGCTAGAACATGCTTACTTCTGATTTTTTGTTGTTTGTTTGTTTTCCCTGGTTTAAATATTTGGTAATAGTTTTTAGAGTTCTCTGGGGGCACTTAATTCAATAACTTATGATTTAGATGCATGATAAATCATGAAATTCAGGGCTTATTATTAGTTGTAGAAAAACTCCCTCTGCAAGGATTGGCTTGCAAATTTTCTTAAACAAGTGGTGTTAGATTGATTATTTTTATTAATGATAGAGAACTCTATTTCTCATATTTTATAAGGTGACTCATTTAGCATATTGATTTTGGTTATTGAAGTAGAGAGTTATATCTTATGATTAAATTGTATAATTCAAAAGAAGTCTCTAACCCAAATATTTCAGTATTGATATTCTGTCCTTTCAAAGGATAAAAAGTTAATCTGACATGCTGTACCCTACACCTTCAGAGAAACAAAATATGTACTCTATATAATAAAAATTCATCTATTTTATCTATTTAAATATTTTTCTTAGTCTTTATCAAATGTGTATTTTGAATGGGTTGTTCCTTATGTATTAAAATACTTATAATTTTGATGATACAGTGAATAAAATATTTTTTAACTTTTAATTATTTTTATATATGATTTTTTCTTCTTCCTTTTAGGGTAGAGCCTGGATCAGAGTAGCACTCATGGAAAAACATTTATCTGAATACATCTCTACAGCTCTGAGAGACTTCAAAACAACCAGGTTTAAAAGTCCTTTTAATTTTCTAATACATATTTGAAAGTATCATCTTAAGACTTAGGAATCAAAACAGAGTGAAAGTCCTCAACTATTTTATTTCCTTTTTTTCTTACTATTCAGAAAAATTCTTAGGAAAATGTAATTTGTTAACTAAACATACACCTACCTTGGTTTATGTAAAAAGATATACATTATGCCTAGAGTATCCATTTTCTGAATCATTTCTGATTCTTATTCTTTCAACACTTGAAGTTTCATTCTCCCTACAGACTTTTCCTTGACAGATTTGAAGAAAGATCTAACTATGAAATTCCTATAGCACCTTTTCTCTTTTCACACCACAATGTTTGCTTATTCCTTTGCTTGTAAAGAATATAAATGAACCATTTACTTCTTTAATTCATATACATAATTAGTGATTGCTTGATTATCTTTTTAGGGCAGTCTATACCAATGTTTTTCTTGGACCATATAGACTTAAGGAATAATATACTGTGCCATGTGAAAAATAGGACTTCACTAATTTTTTATGATGGTAGGAAAAATATTCATATTAGGACAACAGTCATTGCTATTTAGTTCTCATCTACTGATATATATTTGTTGCTGTTGAAGCAACCCCTTTCTCCATATCAAAAGTATTTGAAAATGAAAATATTCAATAATCTCAGTACTTTAGACATGAACTGTTGAGAATAGTAGCCACTAACTAACACATGCTGCAATATAAATTAAAATTAATATTACATAAAATTACAAATTTAGTTTCTCAGTTGCTATATCACATTTCAGGTGCTCAATAGCCACATGTGGCATGTGGCTAATGGCTTCCAAATTGTACAGCATAAAAGGTTCTATCTGGCAAAACTGCCTTAGTTACTTCTAAATTACTATTCTTATTTCTACCTCATTAATCATATTTCTTAAAGAGCAGAAAATAATGATAACCATAACCAGTTTTGATAGAGAAAATTAAGCACAAAGAAATCATATATCTGAAATCTTAAATTCCATGTCCTAATGCAGAGTTTGAAATTCTGGATTTTGAGAAAATGAGAAAATCTGGGCATTTACTATGACACATTCTGTCAAATAAGTTGCTGGTATTAATTGCAGTATTTTACTCAACTCCCTCTGTCTTTGTAGGTAAGACAATAGTAAACTTAATTTGGGAGATACAGAGAAAAGAATTATTATGATTATAAATTTGACCAGGATAGAAAGACTGTTAGCTAAAAGAAGTATTTGCATAAAACAAATCCCACCTATATATACTTATTGAGTTCTTTACAAGCAATGTGATACTCTTGGGATATTTCTGATGATAAACTCTTAGATGTTTAAAATGAACCTTATCAAATGAAACATTTGTTTATTGATCATCGCTAGTAAGTTTAATTATGAGAGGTAATAAATACTGAGGATACTGAGGCTTTGAACATAAAACTAGAGCATAGTGTCAGAATCTAGTAGATCAAATCTAAAAATCCTAAATTAAATCAAAATCACGTTTACACAATAATCATTTCCTATGCAATTACAGTGTTGTGTTGAAATTATGATAGTCTTTTCTAAATAGAAATTAAAGCATTAATAATATCTCTAAATTATTAGTCTTGTTTCTTAGTTTAAATGACAGGGTGGGGTCGAAATAACAGGTTATATTTAGAACGAGTAGTTTAAATGTTTAAGGGGAAATGCTTTTTGTCTTGTTCCTAGGTTTTAACTGTGATTTTTCATAAAAAGGAAATGGTTTGGCTTTTAAAAAGTTCATGAAGTAAAAATATTCTTGTAACAACATATAAAGATATACTATTCAAACAGAAACATGGCTTAGTGTATGTTTACATATATGTACATAATACATAAATATATGCACACACATATATAATGTTTTTACATACACACACATCTGAATAACAGTGTTTAAATGTGAATATAATGGCCTTGTAATTTCCAAGAAAGGAAGTAAGGAGGGAATTATTTCAGAGTTCTAATCTTAGAAATTAACTAAAAAAAGTTGTGAAAAAAACAAAATATTTTTCTGTTTATACTGCTTTTTAAATTAAATAAAATGAAACAAACTTCTTAATTCTAAATAAATTTGATTATAAATCTCTAGCTAAAAGAAATATATTTGGAAGATTTGTAAAATAAAAGCCAACAAAGTATTTGTACCTTACCTTTTATCTGAATGCTTCCTGAGGTAAGTGCTTGTAGAAGGATGAGAAATGAGCTCTAATCCTTTAGGAATCTTGAGAGTATCTGAATCAAGTGGATTTCTTCTTGTTCTGCTCTTCACAAATAAAGAATATTCTTTAAAATGGTGATACAAGTGTTTACCCCAGTACTGGAGGAGGAGCTACATGAGCTAAGGCAGGCAAGCTTGAAAGCACTAATCAGTGAAGATCCAAGGGTAAATTTGGGTGGAGAAGGGTGGGGAGTAGAAGTACAATAAAGTTTCCTCTTTGAGTACATGACTACATGACTATGGCTCCAAAGTATTACGTAAATTCATGTGATCTTTTTCCTAGGGTGGAAGATGTCTTGGTGAGAAATTTAAAAAAAAAACTTGAAAATCATGGTTTAGGGGTTTGGGGTGTTATTAGGAAATAGCCAGAGTGGGGAAGTTGACAGAGTGAAGATAAGAATCTAAGTTCACAACAAAAAAAGTAGAGAATTGTTTTTGTTAGGTTACTGGGAAGATCTATAAATAACAAGTGAGTTAAAAACTGAATTAATTTGCTCAAAGTTTTCATTTCTCTTTACCCACAGACTAAAAAATAATTAGAAAATTTAAACTAAAAAATACAACTGTTATTTGAAAACTATTGAAAATATTCCAGCAAGAATTTGAAGCAATAAATACAGAAGAACTCAAAGTAACAAATATGGAAAATATAAAGATAAAATTAGCTTTATAGAAACCAATTTATTACTTTGCAATTATATCAATTATATCACACTATTTAAGTTATAATGACAAAAGTTGTGTTCTGAATAATGTTAATTCTTACAATATTTTAGTAAAAATGAGAGAATATGTGAAATATAAAACTTCATGAATTTCTGACTTGTCACAAAGAGAAAAAAAACAAATTGGTAAACACTTTTTTCAAGTATAGAAAAGTAGATAGGATAGTGATAAGTTACCAAAATCTTTTAAATGCCAAGAATGAGTTTTGGAATCTGAATATACTTCAAAGTTTTATATTATTAAGATGAAAAATAAACATTATGAAAAGGTACTTATAGACTACTACCTCATAGCATATACAAAACTACAAATGAATTGGACTTAAATATAAAATTCTTATAAGAAAACATGGATGTAAATTTTTGTTTGGATTACAGTGTTTTCCTAGGTATTACACCAAGTGTACAAAGAACAAAAAAATATGTAGATAGATTGGACATAATCAAAATTAAAAATTTTATGTTTCAAAGGACACCACTAAGAAAGTGAAAAGATGACCTGAAGAATGGAAAAAAATTTTACAGATCATATATCTGCTAAGTGACCTTGCATCTAGACTGTATACAAAGAACTTTTATAACTCAGTAATAAAAAGACAACCCATTTATAAATAGTCAAGGAATCTGAATAGATATTTATCCAAAAAAAGATATACAAATGGCTAACACCAAAATATTGCTCAACCTTATTAGTCATCAAGGAAATGGAAATCAAAACCATAATGAAATACCACTGCATACCAGCTATTATTAATAGGATGGCAATATTCAAAAGATCACTTAATAACAAATGTTGGTAAGGATTTGGAAAAAGTGGATCTCACATACATTGTTGGTGGGAAAGTAAGATGGCACAGCCACTTTGAAAAATAGTCTAGCAATTTCTCAAAAGGTTAAACATAGAGTTACCATATGATGCAGCACATGACTCCTAAGTATATGTGAGTGTATATCCATGCAGTGGAATATTATTCAGCCATAAAAAGAAATGTGATACATGGTATAACATGGATGAACCTAGAAAACATGCTAAGTCAAAGAAGCCAGCCACAAAAGACCAGATAGTATGAGATTCCATTTATATGAAATGTCCAAAATAAGCAAGTCTATGCAGAAAGAAAGTAGGTTGGTTTCCTGGGCTTGAGAGGGTAGATAGCTCTAAGGAAAATGGGGTGTAACTGCTAATAGGTACCTGGTTTCTTTTGGGGGTAATGAAAATATGATAAAATTGATTATGGTGATAGTGGTACAACCTGTGAATATGTGAGAAACCATTGAATTGTACTTTAAATGTACTTTAAATGGGCAAATTGTAGTATATGTGAATGAAGCAGTTTTTTAAAGATTATAAGGCTTATTAAAGTTATACATGTGATTTTTATTATTGAAGGAAGGAAGAGAAGTGAGTTCCACTGTTGCATAGGGAAAACATAAAATCTCAAATATAAGATTACCCCTAGAATAATTGGTTTTAAAAGTTCTGATTAATATTTAACTATTATCTGTTTTGTCCATACAAATAATTTTTAACTTAAATATATGAAAGCTCTTTTAACGAATTTTTTCAAAAACGTGTTTTTAAATTTCCATACAAGCAATAATTCCACATATGCCTGGAAACAAGTAAGAAAAAGCTTTATGATATATTTGCCATTATTCTGTAGTAAAAATAAGAATAATCTTCTTGTTCTTCCATACAGATGTGTGACCTAAGAGTATTAAGTGTTCTAACTGCCCTTTAACAATTGCTGTTTAGAGAGAACTAGGTGTTTCCTTTAGTACAAGACCTCCTTTTGCTTTTTGCTTTCTGATATCTGATTAAATTTCTTAGCTTAGCTTTGCTCTGTCATCTCTTCCTTCCTTTCAACCAGTCTTCATTTTGTGTCTACTTCCTAAGAAAACAATTACTTCTAGTACCTTCTAAAGAGAATGAATGTTCTGTATAGGTTCTCTTTTAAAGTAAAACTAGTACCTAAATAATGAAATACAGCCAGTTGTTTTTCATAGTTTCTTTTCGTGGTCTTTATATTACAGTTTTCATGCGGGAATACAAATCAGGATTAGGACTGGCTTAACAGTGTTACCAGAGAAAGACTTTTACAATTTTTAAATACTGAAAATGTCTTCATGAGATGATATATTCTTGTTTTCTAGCATTATTTTCTTTATTTCATTTGTTTTAACTTATTTATTTTAATTGACAAAAATGCTATATATTTATCATGTACAACATGTTGTTTTGAATATGTGTATGTTGTAGAATGGCTAAATCGAGCTAATTAACATATACATTACCTCACATACTTATTTTTTTGTGGTGAGAGCACTTAAAATCCACTCTTTTAGCAATTTTCAAGAATACAATATATTGCTATTAACTGTAGCCACCATGTTGTACAATAGATCTCTTGACTTATTCCTTCTGTCTAATTGAAATTTTGTATCCATTGACCAATATCTTCTCCACCCTTCTCACCCCCCAAACTTCCCCATGCCCAGCACCTAGTAACTACCATTATACTCTCTGCTTCTGAGTTCAGCTTTTTTAGATTCCACGTAAAAGTAAGAGCATAGCATTATTTTCCATATGAGATATCAAGATTATGTGATGTTTTTGTGATATTTAGAAAGATTTAGCCATTCTACAACATACATACATTTACAAGGAAAACAAGAAGCTGGACCTTTTAGGGCTAATTCTTTCTGCCTTTTAGGACTAAGTCTTCACAGTGGTAGATAGGCAATAGGAAAAATGGAAGATGAAAACTATTTTTTCCCACTTATTGTTCAGTTTTATAGGAGGAGGTTTTACAAGAAGAGTTTTGGTGTTTTTGAAGTAATAAATTCCCATTTATTAAAAATATCTATTCTAGTATATATTTAGTATGAAAATTTCTCTGTGTACTTCAGTATTTGACTTTTAATTTCATTTTAAAATATTCTTATTAATACAGTTTTTCCTCATATAGAAAATATGGGTCCTGGGGTCCTGTTTAAGTCCAGTGTTTCTTTGTTGATTTTTTTTCCTTGATGAGCTATTCAGTTCTGTCAATGGAGTGTTGAATTCCCAGCTATTATGATGCCGCTGTTATTTCTTTGCTTAGATTTAGTAGAATTTATTTTATGAATCTGGGAGCTCCTATGTCAGGTGCATTTATATTTATGATATTTATGATTGTTATATCTCCTTTCTGAATTGTTCCCTTTATCATTATATAATGACAATCTTTGTTTTTTTTTAAGGTTGTTGATTTAAAGTGTATTTTATCTGAGAATAGCTACTCTTGCTCACTTTTGGTTTCCATTCATGTGAAATATTTTTTTCTATCCCTTGACTTTGAGTCTATGAGAATATTTGTGAGTTAGATGGGTTTGTTGGAGACAGAATATAGTTGGGTTGTGTTTTTTTTTTTTAATCCATTCAGCCAATTTATATCTTTTAAGTAGAACATTAAGACCATTTATGTTTAGTGTTAGTATTGATATGTGAGATACTGTTCTGTTCATTATATCGAATGATAACTAGTTGCTTTGTTTTACCCTTTGTTTACTGTTCTATAAGAGCTGTGAACTTTAACTTTCTGATGTTTTTCAACTGATATGTATTGATTGTGCTGTTTCATGTATAGAGCATTTTTAAGCATTTCCTGTAGGACCGGTCTAGTGACAAATTCCCTTAGAGTTTGCTTGTCTGGGAAAGATTTTATTTCTCTTTTATTTGTGAAACTTTTCAGGATACAAAATTGTTGGCATAGCAGTTATTCTGTTTAAGAAGAATAAAAATGGGACCCTAATCCCTTCTAGCTTGTAAGGTTTCTGCTGAGAAGTCTGCTGTTAGTCTGTATGGTTTTCTTTTGTAAGTTAGTTATTGCTTTCATCTTGCAGCTTGTGGGATTTCAACCTCACTTTGACTTTGGCCAGAGTGATGATTGTGTGCCTTGGCAAAGTCTTTTTTGCTATGATTCTTCAAGGTTTTCAATGATCATCTTGTATCTGGATGTCTGAATTTCTAGCAATAATACCAGGGAAGTTTTTCTCAATTACTGTGTTTCCCTGAAAATAAGACAGGGTCTTATATTTATTTTTCCTCAAGAAGACACCTTAGGGCTTATTTTCAGGGGATGTGTTATTTTTTTAAGTACGGTACAACACAATCTACATTTATTCAACTATAGTTAAGTCGTCGTCTTCTGGAACATCATCATAACTCTCCAAACCCTGAATTCCATCCTGAGTTTCCTGCAGCTCTATTTCCTTTAGAACCATTGGCCCCAATCTCTCATGTCGAGCAATAGAGCTCTCATGGGGCAAATGAGAAGGGCTGCTCGTCTTCTTTATCGCTTCCCGCAAAATGCATGGATTGTGCAGATACTCTGTGTAGCCACGCCCATCACTAGGTCTTATTTTCAGGGTAGGGCTTATATTGCGCAAATGCTTAGAAATCTGCTAGGGCTTATTTTATGGGTAGGTCTTATTTTCGGGGAAACACGGTATCGCCTTAAATAGGTTTTCCATGCTTTTTTCTTTTTGTTCTTCTCCCTCAGGGATACTTGTGATTCTTCTATTAGCTTGCTTTACATAGTTCTGTATTTCTCTGATTGTTCAGAATTCCAAAAATCTAAATAAAGGAGAAAATAATTATCCTTAATTCTGTACCCAAAAAAGCCATTGTTAAATATATTTTCTTTCAGTTTTTTTTTTTTTGGTGCATTCTTAAAATAATGATTG